TTTCTTTTTTTTTTTTTTTTTTACTTTTACTAGTATTCCTTAAAAAGCCCCTTTCTCCTCTGAAGCAGTTAGAGAATAAGCCCACAGTTTGCAGTGCCTTATGTAATAGCTCCTATTGAAGAAATACATCTGGGGCCGATTTCTTAACTTGTGATTTCATGGATTAAAAATTACTTTAAGCATTTGGTTTTCTAAAAAATGTGACTGGGGACACAGAGGTAAAAGAAAATTGACATTAGTATGTAAATTGACATTTAGCTTGGGTGGAAGTTAATGAGCTCCATCCTGTCAAAGCCTGAAATTGCCTGTGAGCTTTCCTAGAAGATGCTTCAACAAATGAATATGAACAATTTTCTGACAAAAGAAAAGCTTTTGCAAGCTCAATTAAAACTTATCTTCAGGCTCTGAGCATTGCTAAACATGAGATTGAGATTTACTCCAACTGCTGCTGTGATCAGTGGTACGGAGGACACAAATACATCAACCCTTGTATCTGTAAGCAAACACGAAGGGTGCTATTACAGATCTTGCAGGAGCCAAGCAAATGAAAGGCCCGACCCCTCTTTGATGTGTGTTCATTCAGAGAGTAAAACACATTTCCAGTCTAGAAAACGAGCCACAGCATCAACAGACAAAAATGTCACAGACCAGAGTCTCTAGTTGAACACGCATGTCCCATTCAGAGGAAGAGAGAGAACTGTGTGTTGCATGTCAAGTATCGGGTTTTCCATTATATTTAGTCTTGGATGACAAATGTTCTATAGCTATATCTGCTATAAAAATGCTTTCTCATAAATGAATGGACAAGAGATACAATCTTCATCGTAATATCATTAAGGAGACTGATTGCAGCCCAAGTCCTTCTCAATCTCTTTAGCAACACTTTGAAAGAAAGAACTATGCAATTCTGAAAGTCCCATTATTCAGCATCGCAGTGTGGTAGAAAAGGTCTTGAATGCCCTAGAGAACTCAATGGTCTTGAATGCCCCAGAGGGAAGGCTGTTGATGCTTGAACTTTTGCACCCAAGGTTGCTTCACTCACTATTATTTGAACTCTTCAAAAAGGCTGATCTCATAAATATTGGACTCTCTGCAATATTAATAAGAGATACTATGATGTGACAGGGCTGTCAGTAGGGGATTGCTAACCGTGCCTTTGCAATAGGTCCCTGAAAATGAAATGGCAACACTTCGGCTTCTATATACATTTAATGTGTCATGTAGCCACCTTAGTATGTCTACAAAATACACGTACTTTAACCCCATGAAAGGACAACCAGGAGCAGAGTCATACCTCAGAGACATTCCAAAAACGTTCATGGATTTCTACTGCAGACAGAGAGTTTTTATCAACCTAATCATTAGCAGAGAGAAGCATCCCAGACACAAGACATAAATAGCTCCTGTTGAATGCCTACAGCACTGATATCTTTTTAGGAATGGAGTTTCTAAAGCCTAGCTTCTCACTAAGCAGAATCCTTCTAGTAGAAAAAGAATGGGAAGGATTCCTTTAAGAGAGGAGCAACTGTTTGTGACAACCTTCTCAACCTCAAAAACACACATGCTGGAAACTCCCCTTCTTTTTCCTTTGATGGGGAACAAACATGTCTCATTCCATTCTTTTCTTGGTATTGTTCCTTTCAAAGTGACAAATGAATAAATAAACAACATCTGGGTTGCAGAGTAGCCATCTGGGAAAGTCTTGCAAGTGAAGTGTAGAAGTGCCCCCAGAGAACGTTCAAGAGACAGAGTAGAGAAATTTGAATTGGAAGAAACTGCGGGTGCACTCACTGAATAAAGGGGGAACTGCTTATCCACATGTAGGCAGCGAGCAGCCCATCACTCACACCGCTCCAGAGCCACCCCGGGCTGGCAGAGAAAGGCAGGTACAGGACGGATGTGTCTCCAGTAGCGTGACTGGTAAAAAACACACCTTAACTCAGGCACACCGTCCCCCTGCTAGGGACTCTCTGCCAATTATTTTTGAATACAGCTCAGCTTTAGACACACATTAAAGGTTTTTATACCAGAGCTTTGAACAGCAATTCATTATGGGGTTTATTAGACCTGAAGTGCAGTTTCACGGTCAAATTGATTTAATGCTGATCTTGCCTTTTTCTTCCCCATCTGCAAGCTTGCATGCTCTCCCTCTTGTGCTGGCACCAGCATGGCATATTGGGCCCTGCAGCCAGCTTCATCAAGAAGTTGATTAAGCTGAATATTAATAATTTTTTTGGTTTGGGGCCAGATCAGTTTCCTGGACTAGCTGGTTGCTTGACTGCACAAAAACTAGTTTGGGGAGAAGGGAGAGGATTAGGTTGTGGTGCAGGCTCACTCCGCCCTTCTCAGCTGCACTGCAGCCCTGGATTACCCAGCCTTCTTGGAAAGCACACGTGTGAGTGTAATGTGCACAGTGAAAGCCTCTTGCATCTCCCTCCCTCTCTGACTCTTTTTAAGGCCCAGGTAATGCTGCCTTTGCTTTATATCTCTATTTTGCAAGCTTTACCACTGAATTAAACTGTGAATTCGTATGGGGAAGGAGAGGAGAACAAACCTTAGCGTGCAAGTGATTAGAACAATCACTTAAATCCATTTTTAAAAACCCCATGGTTTATCTGCTTATTTTATTAGATCATCAATTCACAAATACTTTTAACAAAAATTGAGATGGGTTCTGAATCATGATTCATTATAAAACCTACAGGAATCTCTCAGCCATAACTAGAAATCAAATTGAGATGTAGGCAGGAAAATAATATTTAGAAGTTAAACTCTTTGACAGGAATTTCATTCAGATAATTTGGTGTAAATATTAATTTCAGGCATCAGAACCATAGTATTATTTCTTCTTTTACTTGTTTTCAGCTACTATGAGGAAGCAGGTCACAGGCTAAATTCTTCCCCAACTGCTATCTGCTTCTCTGTTCCAAATATCTGAATTACAGGACCTGTTTCCCTCCGAGCTGCACCATAATAATGATTGTGATGGTAATAGGATTATCTAGTGTTAAATTCATTCAAGTTGTTTAATGACTTAAGAACTTCCTCGAGGCTTTTAGTTTTTTAGCCAAGAAAGTGGTTTTCTTAAATTATGCTAAAATAATAAAAAAAAAAAAGAACTCTCACCAAATGTTCATGGTTTTAACATATAAAGAAGATTTTCCTTTTTGATGCCAACATATCCTTTCAATATTGTGAAAAAGACCTCCAGTATGTGTGCATAAGAATTATATTAACTGGCAGGAGTGGATAGTAAAACAACGCATCATTCATTGTCCCAGTTGAATGGTGGATTCAGGAAAGGAAAGATCATTTGAGTGTAAAATACCAAAAAAAGGCTGATTCTACAAGCGTATGCCTAGATCTGCGTTCCTCACGACAAGACCCACATCTGCCCTCCATACTGCAACAAGGGTGACGTTGCCCCGAGTCTGTGACCGGGTCTCCCGGCTGCCACCGTCCCACACCAACAGGGAGAGGGAAGGACGTCCCCGCTGCCCTGCCCTTGCACATTCACCCACATCAACACTGAGTCAACAAAAAGGTCAGCCTGGAACATTTCTCTTGGCAACAGCCACCCTTTGGATTATGGTGCTTCAGTGGTTTGAGGCTCATTTAAATTTTAACTGGCATCATCCCCTGAGCTGTGCTGTGAAGCAGTCCCACAAGCGATGCTCTCGTGTAACTCAGAGAGCAACAGGCAGCCAGAGCTGCTCCCTATGAGCTCCGTTCAAACCCAGCTGCAGTGTGAAACTGTGTCACTACCAAAGTGCTTTGTACCCACTTTGCTTTGACATAGGCGTTTGGAGATTAAAAATTCCTCCAGTCTTAACAAGAAAAAAAAAGTTATCAGCAAATTAGGAGGCTTTTCTCCTATTCTATCCTGCACTTAATGTACAGAATTTTGCAGAGCAGACATAAAACTCATATAGAATTAGTACTTAGTTACATATTAGAACTAGTTAGAATAAAGAATATAACCTATCAATAGAAGTTTTATTGATCACATCTCATTCTCATGAGTAAATGCTCATGAAGATGGTCAATCAAACCACGACTGCAGCTTTTCCTTCTTGAAGGTATCTTTATAAAGCTCTAAAAATCTTCAGTTAAAGGAAATTGCCTAAAAAGCCCTAAATAATAAAATAAACTACAAAGTCTCCACTGTGTTTAGATGGAAGGACTGTATAACATCTAGTGTCCTGGAAAGAGGTGTGCTGCAACTATGATTTTTATGAGCATTTAAATGGCCTACAACAGGTATCCGGCCTTATATCAGCTGCTATAATGAATATTTTAAAGTTAATGTTGGTCTGGGCACCTTTCTGGCAGACTTTCCTTTTGTCCACTGAAGGGAGTAAATACATTAGAGACAGCCACAACATTTTTACAACTTTGCTATATTTGTACCACATCCCCACCCCTTGTTCTAATATCTTAACAGGTGTAATTCTACTTCTACTGAACTGAGTGATATAAATTTCTACTGACTGATCTTTAATGATCACAAAAACATGCACTGTAACATTTTCCACAGTTGCTTCTTCTAAGTCAAACTATGACATGTCACAGATTCTGTTAAGCATATTGTTTAAAACCCACTCACTTGTATATAACTTGGGAAAGTAATAAGGTAAATCCTGTGCAGGCAATATCTCTCTGAAGGGTAAGACCAAATTTCAAGGCAACATTTCAGTTTTACAGTGGGATATACACTATTTGTCTGAGCAGATATGTAATATTTTACAGCTTAGGCAGGAATAAAAAAAAAAATAAATACAGCCAGTCTCACCTGGAGACAATGATATTTTCTCACAAAGCTGATAGCAATAAACAAGCTTCCATGGCTTATTGTTCACGCAGCAAAGTTTCAGCATTGTAGCCTGGTGAAAAACCAGAACAAGGCTGTCCTGAGTCCATATGAAAAGCAACATATTGATGACAGTTTTGTTTCACTTTTTTCCCTTGTTTACCAAGTTGTGCACTCTGGTTTCATAGCTCATTATAGATATGTATTATAGATATATATACACGCATCAGACAGATAGAATACAGATTTCACTTCCTTGTCGACGTGACTGCATTGTAGCACCTATCTACTTAATAAAAATGCCGCCAAGCTCTTAACAGGTCTCCATATAAAAGATGAAATTTAAAGGAGTGACATTTCTACATTCAAAAATTGGATACTAAGGTAATAACACCCTGTTACTGTGAAGAGTTGGAAAAGGCAAATTTACAGAATTTTTTGCTCATGGGCATAGAGAATATGCCACTGCACCTTTGTCATTGCTATTAAGTATAACCTTGACTAATCCAGCATAGCACAACCTCTTCCTTCATCCCCTCCTTGCCAGCCCATGGCCAGATAATTCACTGAGTTTTTATGTGGCTCCTTCATAGAAAGATCAGTTGTTTCTCTTCATTTAAATGGTAAGCTCAATTCTTGCTGTTCAAAAATCAGGTTACACTGTTACATGCAGGCTGCACCATGTTAGTAGACAAAAGTGCCCTGCTAGTCCAGGAAAGGAACTCCTATTGTTATGCCTCTTGCATCTCCTAGGTGAAAAGATGGTTTAATAATCAGAATCCCACCCAGCAAATTACATTCAACGAGAACCTGTGCTCAGCTGGAACTGGTGCATCAGCTCAGTCCTGGGTTACCTGTTAATTTATTTATTTACCAAATTTAAAAGCTGGGCCAGAATCCAATCCCTTACAAGTACATTTACAGTTACTTACAGTCTTCCTGCACTGTCATCCATGCAGAGCACAGCCTGAAATACTCTCATTATAAATTAATCTAAACCAACTAGGTTTATAATTTATTGTTATTTCTGGTTTGCAGAACAAAAAAAAAAAAAAAAAAAAAAAAAAAAAAAAAAAAAAAAAAAAAAAACCACCAAAAAACACACCTCACAAAGTAGAATGCAACCACTACAAGCAAGTATCTATTCCAACATCACTTCATGGACTCTTAAACGCTTCAACACTTCTGACTTCAGTTTCATATCTGGAGAATGCCTGCTTACATTTCAGCAAACCTATCCATTATTAAGTCTAACTATCAACTATGAATTCATTTATGTCAATCAGATTTTATATAATATGCAGACTGGCATTAAAAGACAGCAAATGCATTTTTTGGAATTTCAGTTACAGGTTGATTGGAACAAAGACCATGAAAGAGAATGAGAATTTTGGCATGTTATTTTTACTGCTCCTGAGAAAGTAGAACTTTGTAATTCATTAGAAACTGAAAAGCTAGTTTTGCTTAGATTAGCTGTGCCTCAGAGTTTCCTGATCGCTGTCAGCAAGTGCTAAAAAGTTGAAAGGGAGGAAATATTGTAAAATGCCACTAGAAGGTAGTGCAGTCTAAGATTGAATACAAGGACTCTTGGGCTCAATTCCAGCCTCCAGAAATTTGCTGGGGATGAAATTCATTTATGTGCAGACAGCTGTCAAGAAGCATACACACCTTTTAGACTCCCACATAAATGAAAAAAAAAAATATGTTACATGATGTATTGGCAAACTGCACTCTATATAGAGAGCAAAACTTAGCCTGGGGTATCGATTGCCTGTGTTTCTGCTCCCCTTGCCCTAGTGTAAACATCACATCAAGATAACCCAACACTTCTGTGAGATACATTAGCATGGATTTGGAATCATTGAGCATGCAACCAAAAATAATGTAGTGACACTAAGAAAAAGACAGAAATCTTCAGGCTGAATTCCAGGAAAAATTATCTAAGGTCTGTACGACTATGAAATAAACTCCTGGAGAAACTAGTGGGAAGTCTCCATCAACACTTAATTAATAGGTCAAAGCAACAGGAAAAAAAAAATCACTAAGAATAACGCTTTGTGCAGAAAGGAATAAATAATTTGATTCAATTAATTTTTCCCTACCAACTCCATGTTTGACAGAGCTAGTACGCTGGGCTTTGAGGTATTTCTCCCTATGCCTGTTAGGTAGCTACCTGGAAGGAGAGACGCATCTGGAAAACTCTGCCTAATTAACCTTAAATTTCTGGGAGCAATCAAGGGAGAAGCGACCAAAGCCTGATGGGGAAAAACGACCCATTGCCAGGCAGGCACCTATGCAGAGCAGGCGGCTGTGGGCACTGCGGCACGACGCGGCCTTCCTGGGGCAGCCAACAGCACAGGGAGCAAGCTCTGGTGAGCAAAAGGTTTACTGCAAATCCCAGGCTGGGGAGTGAAGAAAGGAAGGACGAAGCATTTATTTAATTTATTTAATTTATAAAGTCCAAATGTAAGTTTCCAGGCGTGCATGCATAGTCATAGCAACTCTTTAAAGACAACATGATAATGCAAATACTCTTAAATATTACTAATCCATGACTGCATGCACCTAGTAACATCAGCTAGGCAGAGAAAACCAAGTCTCTTCTTCCCTAGCAGATGTCCTTGAAATTTCCTCAAATGCTTAAACTTCGTTCTAATGGTTTACCTTATCAACCCTGTCTCACAGAGCAAAGAAATGCATTTTTCAAAGATTATTGACGTGCTGTAGAATAGAAATCTAAAGGGGATACTGTCAAATTCATATGGTTAGAAATAAATAGGGTAATCTTCATAGTGCTGAAGTCACTAAAACAGATGTGATACTTTTATCTGTGGCCACATATATATACAGTTTATCAGTGCAATTACAGGTAAGGAAGATTATATTTATCTTTGCTTTCCTATGAAATAGAAAAGGAAATTATTTGTCTTCTAAAAGACTTGAATTGAGTGGAAATTGAAGACCTACCTGTTGCAATAAATAAACTATTTTTTTTCACTGAACTATCAAGAGAGGAATGGTAAACAAACAACTACAAATTATACCATTAAGCTATGCAAATGAAATGCATTTAAAAACAAATAAACCCAAACATATTTAGGTGTTAATATCTTTTTAATACAGATGATAAAAATGAACATATTTCTAGTGCTTAGTGAAGTATACAGCCATTGCCTTCTCCAATATTCTGCTAACAGAAATGGCTTACAACTGTGCCAAGGCAAGAAAGGAAGCTTGTCCCTTACCAACCAACCAAAACCTGCAGTTGGCCAGTAGCAATTTCGATACTGCAAGCTTGTTTTAGCCACTATCTTGAGAGCACTTCTCGTTCCAGAAGAGCCATCTGTCAGTGTAACCCGCCTACCTCTGTAGCCCAACAGGCCACATAATCTTCTCTTCTTTTAGAGGTCAGCATAAAACTTGCTGATAGCTGTTAGGGAAAATGTTGCATTCCCAATTGACTGCACATCAAAATATTTGATGTTAAGGTCTACTCCTTTGAGCAGGTACCTCTTCTTCCATCAGAAGAGCCTGCAGATTTGCTGCTTTCTGCTGACCTGTGTCTCCTTTGCCATAATGTGTCTACACTCCTCTTTAGGATCATTCTTCTCTGTGTTATTTTCAGATTACATTATCTGCATTTCTTCCCCTCTTCCAAGTGGTTATACGTGGATAAAACTTACATAGGAGAAACTATACCACCAAGGCACTGTGAGATTCTTCTTTCTGATAATGATAGCGTAATCGGAGAGCAGAAAGCTCAGAGGAAGATAAGAAAGAGAAATTATTCTTTGTGACTGATGGACTAGTAATCTTCCTGTGTCTATATGTAGTGGCAGCTAATAGGATCAAATAGATCTACCAGGCTCTTTGTTTTATTCCCTGAAGAATTAATGGCAATTATCAGATGAAGGTTGCTCACCAGCTCTTGCAAATGTGCATTTAGTCATGCAACTTAATGCCAAAACAAATACCATTACTGCTTGATTAAACCAAGCAAAACCAACACTGAGATTTTACATCTGACTTCACCAGATAACAAAAGCTCACAAACCTGTTAAGAAAACCATGTGAAAAAGAAATTTTTTCAAGGATCTATGGGAAAAATAGTGACAAATACTAGATGTCTACACTGGAAATATTTCAGCAGGGATGCCGATATCAGAAGTCTTGGCAGCTGTGTGGCATCCACTTTGCCCTCATTTGAAGGTAAACGGAGCAGGTGGTCAGACCGATCGGTCACTTCCTCAAACTTTCAAGAATCTGCTTGTATGAATTACACAAGCACTGCCCATACGTTTTTAGATATCCTTTCAACTCCTTTAATAATAGAAGTGACATTTTTAATTTATGGCATGGTTTTATAAAGCATGTTATTCAAAAAGGTTTTAGAGGTGCTTTAAATAGCTTTTATCAAAGAATTTCTAGCCTAATAAAAAGACCTAAGAGCCACAAGCATCTTGGTGTAAACACTTTTCACCTTCCCCTGCTTGCATTAAGAGTCATGTAAGGCTCCATGAGGTTTTTTTGGTGTGTCACGCTGCAAAACCTCAGCACACAAGTAATGCATTTATTTATCATTCCTGCTTCTTTCAAAGTCAGCCATTCCAGTGGCTTCTGTGCTATTATGTATATCGTAGTTTTTGTCCAAATGCATTTAGGAGTCAACTTGCAAAGACAAATGCTTTCTGTGGGGAACTTGCTATATTGAGGAGCTATGTATTCCTTTATAAACCATTGATTTAATTAGTGCTTGAAGCTGGCATTGCCCAGAGACTCTTAACTCAGTACCAGAGACTCCCTTCAGGATTTCCTGTCAATGACCTTCTTCAATATATCTGAAATTCATATCTACATACACAGGGTTGTCTGAGATTCAGACTTAAAAGGTGACTTTCTTTGATGCTTGAGATCAGACAGCTTGGGAAGAAACTTTAAAAGACCTCCAGATTTCAAGGCATTCTGGGATCTACCTGTTTATAACAGTTGTGACCAGATTTTCCAATAAGCTTACAAGGTCAAATGGTCACAAGGAGATAATGGAATTTGGATCAAAGCTTATGAGCTTAACTGTGGGGTTTCAGGACAGGCCTATGCAGATGAAGCAGTGTTCATAGCCCTGTGAATTTGTAAAATGGTACATCAGGCCCTTTTGTGAAACGTACATGCTACAAAAAATTTGGGGCTTTCACCTGTTATATATAAGAATGGTCATGCATCAGATATTACAGAGAGGCTTTTGAGCTAGGCAATGGGAAACTTGTATAAAAGCATGCCAGGAAATTCCTGTGGTATATAAATTTCCCCTATATTTCAGATAATTACAATTCAGGACTCTTGCAAATCTTGAAATCTAGTTAATGGGAAAGAAGGATTTATGCAGAACGGGATTGTTCCACTTCCCTGGAATGCTTTTTGTGAGGGTGGCAGCACAGTTCATGGCATCACTTTTAAGTGTCAGAAGTTGACACTATTGAAGTCTATTTCTACACCAGTACATTAGTCATCTCCTGGATATTCAAGACTTGTTTGCCCCTTGAGCACACTTGAGGGAAGTATGACTGATGGCAATAAAACTACTCGCAGAAATGTGTTATTGCCAGCAGACAATAATAGAGTTGCCTATCTCCCCACAGGCATTTGCCATATATATCAAGATGTTTGTTATGAGTGGCTGACTTCTCTAGAGGAGCCTAAATTCTTTCTGTACTCCTGTTGGGAGATGTTCTGCCATACCAAGAAAACTCACTTTGATGCACACACTAATAGACCTCATTTTAGAGAGCCACGGAACAGCAGAGACCATCCACTGCAAACCCCCTGCTCAAAGTAGGGTTGAACAGCATGGTTTGCTCAGGACATTGTCCAGCCTCTGGCAGGGATGATTGCTCTTTGATCTTAGGTTTAGCTCATTGTTCTGCTTCTCCATACAAAATCTCTGCCTGGAAAACTTTGTGGTGAGATGACTTCGCAGTTTCCCAGTGCTGGGCCAGCATCAGGTTATGCACCTGCTGCAGTCCCCTGCAGGGGATAAGTGGGAAGAAAGCCCTGACTATGCATGGAGGTGGAGAATGAGAGTGACTAATAAAGCATTCACAAGTGAGCCATTTCAGTGGCCTGTCCTGACAATATGCACTAGAAGATGTCCAGTGGGATCACCTTAGAAGAACTGATTTTATTGCTCTGATCATTGGAGGGCTAACCATGTCTCCATAAAACCTTTTCCCCTTCTACTGGAATTACGTGCTGTTCAGGCAGGGGTGTCCACACGTCACTGCTTTTATATTCCTCACTCAAGCTGACTACATCAGTTCCTGCTGAACAAATTTCTAGCATGTCTCTCACTCCCCCTCTGTCCTGATATGTAAGGATTTTATTTGGTTTCTTATTGTCATGCTTAATTCCATGCTGTCAAGTTTGTTTTGTCTTAATTGCCAGGGATTTCTATGTAAAGAACTTCATCACAGCCTTCAGTTTGGGATGTGTAGTTTTAAAAGTGATTTTTGTCTGTGTAGAAGGTAAACGTTACATCAGACGTGCTACAGGATATATCTTTTAAAGGGGTAGAAGACTTCACACTGAAAATTAATTGCCACATAGACACACAAGACAACACTCTAAAATTATAATCAAAATATTTAAAATTAAAATAGAGGAAGCACATGAATACTTAAAATGTTCATTTCAGTAAGGAAAATGTATTCGAAGTAGGTTTCTATCTCTATTATCCACTAATTTTATAGCTTCATACATGCATACAACAATTTTCTATTTAAAAAAGTGTCCTTCTGGTACACTCTCATATTTCTGGGCCAAACTGTCAGCTGGTGTTGGCAAAGAAAGCTCCTTTAACTTCAGTGCTTAAAGCATGATTTCAGTGGAGACACTAATTTACGGATTTGAGACTAGAGCAAGAGACCACTCATTAGCCCACATCCAGCAACTGAACTGCAGTAGATTACAGATTGCTGCAGGCTCTGACAAGCATTAATTACACTGTGATGTCTGAACCAGGTCAGATCAAAGGCCCACTTAGCCCAGGATTTTGTCTCCAGCAGCGAATGCCTAAGGAAGCTTATGAAAACAAGGCACACACCTCGTGATACTTATCTCAGCCTTTGATGATTTGCAACTCAGTCAGTTCTGAGGTCAGAGGTGGAATCTTCAGTTTTAACAGTCTCGGATGAATGCTTTTTTCCATATTTTTTTTTCCCCTCATTCATTGATTACACTTTACATTTCCTAGATAACTTCTATCCAGTAGCCAGGTATGAACCTCCTAAGAATATCCATCCCAGGGGACGCTTATTGTACAGATTAGGAAATGGAGGTACCACCAGGAAGCGAGCCTGAATTTCAGAACTGTGATCACCTTAAAATGCTACTGTTTGCAAACAGATGTAAAACAAAACAAACAAAACAACAACAAAATTCAAACTCTAATTAACACAAATAAGGTGGGCAGGAATTCAGTTTTCATCCTCCTTCACACTGAGCACGTGCTGAGGCTGTCAGTTAGACACTGCTTAAAGTTACCAGCTAGTCACAACCAAAGCTGTTAATAAAAACGTATCTATTCAACATATTTTTCAACTCACAGATGTCATTTAAAACCAGACTCAATCCTTGCTAGAGGGAGGCTTTTGGATCCTCAGTGGATGTTGCTACTATAAGAAGACTTGGAGAATCATACTAAAATGGGGTTCTGTGATGTACCTCTAGACTTGATGAAAATGTTTCACATTGGCATTTAATTGTATTTGAGCACAGACACATGAAATTAATATGCCTTATTTATCGTTGAAGTACTTTTTCAACTGGCAGTCTCCATAAACAATATATTAATATTAATTTCTAAAGTTACTTCTAGATCAGTTAAGCTGCGTCAACAAATTTGACACTAATGGTAGCAGTTCGATGAAATACATGTGTTGAATCTTTTATAAGGTTGATATAATATCTGGAAATTAAAGAAAATCAGTTAAGTTGTGACTGGGTACAGAAGTAGGCCATATCCTGTATATTTTTAACTCATTTTCCACTAATTAGAGCAGAGGGTATGCTTAGTTAGGCATATAATTAAGCAATAATACCCTAGTGATTCAGTAAGCACTACTGGTAGTTTGCTAATTAACAACTTCATGAAATCTAATAGTAGCTCTCTTATCACTTTGATCAATGAGTTATTGATCTTATAACAATATAGACATATCTGAAGGAGCAACTGTCACCAACTACACCCATATAACCTTATTTAAAACAGAACCTAATGGTTGTTTTTCTGTAAGAGAAAATTAGCAGATTTTTATATAGCATTTTCAACTACATACAGCAGTGTATAATTCTGTCACATTATAGTTAAGCTACTGAAAAGTGGCATAAAGACAGACAATCTGCAAAAGCAAAAAGAAGGAATACTAGACTAAACTTATTCTTGTTGGAAACCTCACATTCAAAGAGTGTATAGATTTAAAATCCCTGTTATAGCAAGCAGATTCTCACCTTATCGATGAAAATTATTACATATTATGCAGGATTAAGTTGAGTGAATATGGATGCTTACTCTTGTTTCTGGATCTGGACTGTTTTTTAGGTACTGTGCAGAACTGAGTTTCTTGGAGGTTGTTGTATATTTATAAAAGCTGTCTAAGAAAACACACATAAAATGAGAATACTCAGTGAATCTCTTCCCCAGTGCTAACACAGCTCCTAACGCCTCCTATACCTCAAGCCAGTGAACAGTGAGCATTACAAGATTTCCTGATAACAAGACCAAAAT